GAATATCTCACAGGAAACACAACACAAGAAAAAACAGTGTTGTTGAGGATAACCAAAGTTGCATCGGACAAAACACATCGATACGAAGTATCACTTTGTCAAGGATACACAATGCCAGCAGCTTATGGAATACAGATACTGTCCAACAGCAGAAATAATTGCCGACATGTTGACGAAGCCATTGGCAAGAGTCAAATTAAGAATACTTTCGGAGATGTGCGGTTGGATTTTCTGTTAATTCATAGCTGACATTGCCTAGTCGAGGAAGGGTGTTGGAAGAAATGCGAGATGCACACTCAGCGCATATACCTGATAAAGGTTTCGCATAACCCGCACCAGGTCAGTTCATGACGGAGCATCGACCAGTTCCGTTCTCAACCCAAACCTCTCTATCGCACAGTTTTTATTTCTTATATTACATTATTACTGTCAATAAAATCTGTTCGCACTAGTGCACTGCAGTTTAATTCCAACAAAATCATTAAGATACATACTGACAAAACAGATTAGATGAAAATTATTTGAAAGCCATTTATTTTTGCCAAACGTGATGACAATCAAACAACGGTAAAATGCTATGTAATATAATATAATTTAGGACTCTTTTGAAAATTCGATAAATATTCATGAAGAATGATTTGTATGTAATAGGTACAATAGGTATACTATGATTGAACTATGTGGTATTCGGAAGAACCAAGATTGATTTTTTTATTCCTAGGTAAAAATCTTTAGAAAATTGGTATATGTACCATAATTCCATTGTCAGTTTCTTGGTTTAAAAAGAGATCTGTGGTTTTGCTTGTGTTGCCCGGCGTTGCTTCTTATATCGGAATTCTTTTCATCGCACCTCTCGGTAAACTTTAAGATATATTGGTAGTCAAAAAATTGTCGAAAGAAAAAGTTAATAAAATATGTAATTGTTATAGAAAATGATAAAAAAATACGTTCTATCGGAGTGGATAAAAAAAATAAGTAAAACTTTTGTATCGTCGTGCACAAAGTGAATTAGTATTCGAAGTGAAACTGTGTTTCGGGGTTAAGGATTTTTGACTAGAAACGGAAATAATGAGCAAGATGTCTAGACAGAAATAGCCTAGACGTGTAAATTATGTCTGCAAACGAAATGAACATTCTATTGCCAATAACTCATGTATTAGATCGAATATAGGTATGAATCTAAGACAAAATGCGATGAGAAGCTGTAGAATGACCTCAGAATGTAGGGTGATATTGTTAATTTCCTGAATTCTTGCTAAATTCAGCACATTCCGATGGAAGCAAAATTGTAGCTGTAGACAGAAATTGTAGCTCTTGGTTTAGTAGTTTTGTAAATTAATAGTTATGTTATAATAAAACATATTTTTAAAGCAATAAGTCCGACTAAGTTCAGCATTCTGTATCACTTTCAGACGAATATTCAAGGCAATTAGTAAAAGTAAATAGGAAACTATTAAAATATATGTAAAAATATGACAAAAATCATTGAGCGAAAAAATACTCAACGTTACCTTAAACAATCATAGTTTCGTAAAAATGATATATGTTAATTTCTCAAAATGAGTACCTATATTTTTTTATTCAACACCTTAACGGTATTGTACGGCGCCCACCGATTAAATGACAATTCATAATTATTATTACATAAAGCAATAAAGACTTTGATATGAAATTTTGAGAATCGGTTTTAATTGTTGATATCAAAACAAATCATGTTCGTTGATCTTTTAATGAAAAATAACTGTTTTCCTAATATTAATCATACAAAGTTTCCCATATGAGGCGAACTAAGAGGCTAGGTGTTGCGGCACATGGACACACAAAGCAGCATCTTTGATTGAAAAAGTATATATATATGTAGCCAATCAACGGCACCATCAACACACAAGTGTCTTAAGACAGAGTATTACCCAGGCCTGATTATTGTGTTTACCGAGTCACACAACCCACTTCCTTCAGCCGTTAGACCGCTCTTTTCTCAAGCCTCTCAAAGCATCCCGATTTCAATTAGAGCCAATCCCCAAACGAAAATCGAACGAAAACATGTCGATACCCTGCTTGCTATAGCTTGGACTCGCGCAGCCACCGGCTAGACTGGAGCTTCAGGGTTTTCTAACATCCAATAACACAAACCTAAATTCAGGAAGTGTGGCAGAAGAACCCAGACCTTTGACAAGTTCTGCGCCTTCGGTTGTTGATGATGATTTTGCCACTTCCAGTCCTTACAACCAACAAGCAAACTATGCGAAGGAAACAGTCCGCACAATATTTAACTGATTCATCAATTATTGCAGATAAGAAAGAGAAGAGATTGGACAGAGGAAAAGGAAAAAGCCGTCAGAAAAGGAACAAAACATCCCCAAGGAATTGAAGGAAAACAAGCTTGCTAAAGGAATCTCGTCATTTGGTTAGTTCCTCATCTGAAGAAGATGGTTCCTTTTCAACAAACATTTCCACAGACGTCGAAAAAGAATGCATAAAATAAAATGCATGCATTCAAAATGTAATGCCTAATACGTTATTTATGATTTAAGATATCTGCACACTATCATGCACGTATCGTATCAGACACCTTACGTTTCGGTTCAGTATTTTCGGACACAATATTTGCAGGATGCCGGCCGATACGAAACGAGTCGAAAATTGTCTGAACGTGTCTCTGAGGACAATGTGAATTAGTACCTACCTATCAGATCAGTCGTTTTGCAATCGTCGTTTGATCTACTTATTTTATCTTGATTTAGTACAATTTGAAATTGACGTGGAAAATTTAATTGAAGTCGTAGTGAATTCTATTCATTTAAAAATAACCATAATCGTTTTCATCGTCATCAATTAATTTTTTGTTTAAAATCCAGTATTTGCCTTCCTCGCTCTTTTCATTCAGCATTGGATTACTACAAATCGTCTTTTTATTGCAGAATTGCTTGTTTCTTCATCGTCAAGTAGAAGAGCAATTGTGTATATTTTTTGCGAAAACCGGAAAAACGTAGTTAGGCACATCTTTACTATACCGAACTGAAACGTTTAATGTATGAAAATGTGAACGCGCAGCCCGTTTGCTGGACTGAAAATGCCACGTACCGGAAACGATACATGCATGATACTGTTCAGAGACTTTTAGTCGAAAAAGTAGATATCGGGCGCGTTTCCCAAAATATCCGTCATCTATCCCTAAAGCCTCACAGGTAAGGTTGTAAAAGAAACAGGTAGAAAGTATCAGGTCAAAACTTATTTAGTCTTAAAATCACTTTCGGAAACTCGCCACTAAAGACAGTCATYTTCCTATTTTCCATGTGTTTTTAGCGATTTTCGTGTAGTCAATAGGTGTAGCTGATTGATAATGCAATACTGCTGCATGTTGGCTTAGTTAAAACGGCTAATTGCCTCAATTTTTAAACGAGATTTGTTTCCAGATTTATTTAGAAAGTAGGTACTAAGTATTTTAATTTGTCGTTTTTTAATAATGTCGTATTGGAAATACCACATAAATGTTGTTCTTCCTCTTTGTCAGCAGAACGGAGAAAAGCCATAATCTATGTTTATAATCAGAGGAAATCCACTCGGAATTTTCTATCGCTGATCTAAGCATAAATGGTTAAGCTCAACTTAATTATTATTATATTCTAATATGTCGTTTATAAAAGACATTTTAGCAAGCTCGAATTATCTTTATGTATATAAAAAAYCTAAATCKATATTTTTAAAAAGTGTTTGAAATAAGCATGGAATAATTMAAGCTGAAATTATTATAGTTATCTAAATATGCCATAAAATGGCGGAGCTCTTATTGAACGCTCAARAAGATGTTTTGAAAAACGTTCATTAACGAAAGTATTGTTCCGCGTTTAGTTGGTTTCTTCTAATTCAATGATGCGTATGTCAAGTGAAAAGTTGCAAGTCTGTAGCAAATGTAGAAACACGATAAAACGTATCTCAAACACCTAAGTTGAAACCACAATGCATTAATTTGATCCATCGATGTTAATCCAAAAATGCTGTTCAAGTCTCTATTCAGTGAATGTACTTTTTATGTAGAAAAAATATTAATTGAATCACAGGCTGTCTCGAATCTCAACACAAGTTTCAAGCGTTCTTCTCTTTTGCACGATTCAGAGCGAGTCGTGTCATATCATTTGAGCCAATACCGTTTTTCCTCAGGTTTACAATGTTATGATAAGTTTTCATTGCGTTGGGAGCTCAAGAAAATACACTGCTGCACAGATCCTACTTATCTGGCTGAGAAAACGAATTAATTATGACCAGGTATTAAGGCTTATTCTGTCGTATTTCGAGTCGGGTTTTATTGTGAATTGATACTGAATACGCTTTAGAATCTAGAAAATTAATTAATTAATCGATGAAACTATAGTAGCCCTATCGACCATTACAGAGTAAGAATTGATGATTGAGGTTATCTCACCAAACTCGCTTTTTAACTATCAGTTAACACTCGCCAGTAACTATTAGCCTGAAACGCTTCAGTTAAAATATTCCGTTAGAAATCACCAGCCCCTTCAAAACTCTTCTAATTAACCATAGAATTCTGAAACTGAACATGGTGTTATATAGATTGTATTTAAATAAACGATAAAATGGCAGGCATCTATTAACCCTGCCATTAAAGCTCGAAAAGACGCGACCCACTATGCAACTTTACGACGGCAATAAAGCTAACTTTTCAATTCCTCATTCATCAAACCGGTGCGCCCCCACCCAGAAACAATCGGACAGTTGAAGCTGAACAGCCTTCGCCAAACGGCATTGATCTGGCCGCTCTGTTACTAACAAAAATCGAGCAGAGAAGCCGAAAGTTAAATTTCAAAACAGAATCAAGCACATACAGCATACACAACAAAATGGTATGCGAGTTCCCTGCTTACCGAACAAGAGATTCGGATGTGTTCGTACTTCGACGCCTGACGTCAGTGCAAACCTGATAACTTGATTGGTTAGAGGCGGGGTTATTTTCAGGCGGGTCGAAGCCCAAGCTCGGTTCTTTAGCTCAGCTAGTATGATCGAAATCCTTTAAAAGCCAGCACGTTGTCATCGAACCCGCGATTTAGTCCTTCAAAAGTCATTTTTTCATAAATTTCTTTATGGTGTCGTAGTGATACGCGTTATCTAGATCCACTGTGAAAATTTCAACGCGTTTCGGATATTTTACACCGGAGAAATCGTAAGGAAAAGCTAAAAGTATTTTAACATTAATCTGTGTATGTAGGCGATGCAACGTTGTCGGTTCTCGGGGGTTTAGATGTTGCCGCTATTTTTAACGTGATGCTATGCCATAGCGGCAACTACACGGAGTAAAGCTCGAGACAGTTGAATGCGCAACTTAAAGGTATTGTGATTTTTGTGTCAATGCACTGTTTTTGCCTGGTTGGTCTTGATTGCTTGATACATTATTTGTGGTTCTGTTACTGTTGAGTTATTAGCAACTTCCACTTTTGCTTCTTCTACACTGTTGATTCTTTAGATGTTTGTTATTATTAAACTAGTTGTTTGGTATTAAAAGCAGGAAATGTGTAAACCTTTTAAGGCAGGCGGACAAGAACTAATTGTATGAACTACTTATAAGTAATGTGCATATTCAAAAATAGATGCAAACTCTGGAAGCAGCAAGCGTTTAGTCCAAACAACAGCACACGGTAAAAGAGAATTAAAGCACAGATGCGGTACAGAATAGTCAAATGCATTGTCAGGAAAACAAAAGCGACCGGAACGGATCGTCCCTTCGTCAACTTTTGCAAGAACCTAGAAAATGGTCACCATGAACAGAAAGAATACCATTATGTAACATTGACATTTTGGGACTGAAATATGTTTCGGCTCCGATAGAAAGGTTTCAGATAAATTACGGTTGGAATGGGATTTTCAACCCACATTGATGAGATTGTCACATTCTCATGAGTTTTGACTATTAGAATAATCAATTTAAATATGGTTTATACCTGATATATGGAGTAAAATGTCTAAGAAAAAATTAAGAATGTTATTTGAGATCTAGGTATTGTAATTCTGACATTTAAATACCAAGACCACCCATTATTGGTCTCAGTGGTGGAACTCGTACATCATTATTCGCAACATTGCTCGATCTGATCGAAGCTATGTTTGGGTCTTCGTACAAAATAAACAAATGCCGACGCTGCTGCACGAAATAACAAACGACGATCGCAATAAATACATCACATCGAGTCGGCTTTTTCTCCATCCTCGTTTCGCCGCATAACACCGCGTACCTCTTTGTTTAAGTGCTAGTCACGAGTTTCGCTGCTTTTCTTTTTTTAGGCAGCTTTAATGACACGCTATCCATCTCTCTCGGAAATTACTACTTGCCTCGACTTGCTCCTCTTTCTTTTCCAATGCATGGTTGCCGCCACTTCGACCTTGTGTCATCTCTGTTACGATCGAGCACGAGTTTGTTGTCGGTCCCTCTCTAATTCATTAAAATTTGAAGTTCCCAAGCGGAATGTTACCGTGCGATAGGGCTTTAGGGATCCCTGCACGAGATTATGCCGGTTATGGACTACGTCCCTTTCTAGAACAGCGGTATGCGTTTGTTCGGGAGCTTGAGGGGTGCAAAACGTAAAAAATAAAATCGTCAGGGAACGTTAGGGGTCCAACTTGTCCCGATATGTTTTAGTGCGAGGTCTTATGAGCAAATGTGTATAGAAAATCGGCATTATTCGGTTTATTTGTTTGTAAAGGATGCGTGTGGATAATGGTTTGATGACACCCAGCACATGTGTTAAGTGAAAGGATACATGCTGAAACAAACTTTGAAAAGTTGAAAAAACTTGAATTTTGAGTTATGCAACTCGCAATTTGGAAGCGGATATGGGTTGAATCTATTATATAAAAGTGCTAGAAATGCATTGAATGTTAAGGTAATTTTTCTAATGTGTTCGATTATTCGATTCCATTACACGACCTGAACAGGCTACTGACCTGACCGCATCAACAGTCAACAGTCAAAGAAATTAAATGGAAAATTGTTCAGTATTTCGCCTGACGAATATAAATTCGTGAAGATTAGATGACCTCTAGAGTTTAAAGAACAACAGATTGGACCTTTAAGCAGCAATGCAATCCAAGTTTTAACCATAAATATTAAGGATAATAGTGGAGATATAAAAATTAGTGTTATAGGTAGCTACAGTGTTAAATCATCTGGTAGCTTAATGTGTTTTCAACCAGAAGACGAAAATCTAAAGGAGGAAAGCATACAGTTTTGACACATGTGTTAAAAGTATTATAAGAACGGACAAGTTTGTGTGATAGACACGATCCATTGTTTTGATAAGTCGACATTGTTCAATTGATAATGTTAAACAAGTCATCTTGCAGTGAAATGTGCATTTTGAGTGAGAGGAATCACCGAATCATCTATTATTTTATGGCTCTTGGATCTTTTCTACTATTTAAATGTAAATGATATGAAAGTCCTATAGAGATGAGATGAGTTCACAATTACCACTCATGTTTGGTTATTGGAAAAAGAGGAAGTTCTCACTTTCTTTATAATGAATCGAATACGCTTTCTGAGTAAGAAGCGGATAGTGGGTCTAAACGTTAGCTATACAGAACCGCCTTGTACAGATTGATGACTGAGAATGTCATCTAGCTCCCTCGCTAAGACGCTGTGCTTATTTCTGAAGAATAATATCTTACAAACATTATACTGTGTAAATGCGAGTGAACTCCAAGTGCTTCTAACATCTAGGCGTTCACAGTATCAACAACAGAAATCTGTAGTAGAATGCCACTCGATTAAGCCAACGATGATTTAGTGCTTCCTAAGAGACTTCATCGGGAGGAAAAACATGTCAATTATGTGAAAAAATGAGAATATTGAAAACTACATGAAGAAGAAACGGGCACGAATAGCAAGTCTTGGAACAGCCGCAGTGAGTTAACGACGGACAATAACAGGTCCTTATTTACTCAACCACAAGGAAACCGAAGATATAAAGCAGCAGTGCAGTGTAGAAGTTGATGATGAAGCAATGAGTCGATGTAATATGCCAATCCGCTTTCTCAGCCTGTCACACATTGGATGTCGTCTCGCCATCTCAGGCGTGACCTGTCCAAACTTGTTGTTACTGGCAGCACACAGGATTCCTTCCGCTTCTTCTCATAATTCTAATTGCTTAGTCTGAAAAAGATTAGTATTACCATCTTTTTTGGTACCGGTAAATTCCCATTTGGTGTTTCTTTTCCTCTTTCTCGTCACCCGACTAAGCCTCTTATAAAGCAATACCGAGTAGTAGTAAAGTGTTGCGTTCCAACATAACATCTCGTATTACGCTTCTCTCTCGTCGTGAATGTGAATTCAACTATCGTCGTGTATAATTAATTGGAGACCTTTTTAAAAGTTAATCGAATCTATTCGATGTATTGGATAATCGAAAAATCTAAATATTTTCGAACTATTACCTTGACATTTCAATAACGATTCTCCTGTTTAGCAATTCGTTAATATCGCTAATTTTCATTTGCCACTTTAGTTATAATTTAGGGCTTTTTTGATTGTCAAAACTTTGAAAAAACGTTTTTGGACGAAAGCAAAATTCAATTTCTACAAATAAAGTGAATTGAGAAGCCTCAGAGGTTTATTTGAACTTTTTAACCATTAGCACAAATAGCCGACATTTTCAAGCAGATTAGAGTAGCTTAGGAATGTTAAGATAACAATTCCGAAGTATCGGTTATCAGTATCAACTCTCTTTTGATCAACCGTAAATTTTGACGCACAATACCTACTTGAAAAAGTGGGAGTCAATTGCAAAAAATAGTATCTATATTTCCTGAAGCAATTATCAAATCGATACATTTTGCAAAGTTACCAGTCATGCAACCGTTAGCTCGAAACGAATGCTAATCATATGTTTTGCATAGCACTTATTCTAAGTGAAATATTTTTATCGATGTATCCTACGATCCCGTACTAACGCCCAATTCCTCTCTAATTAGCGAGAAAGCGCGCCGGCAAGTGTTTTCGATAAATAATATTCGATGTTTGTTTTCGCTGAGACTTGACTGTTATTAATTCTGTTTGGTTTACTAATATAAATGATAGAATGTTTACTTTAGTCGTTAGCATGTGTTGGCTGTTAGATCTTTGCGGTTATGGTTATGCTGTAGCATGGGATTTGGTAAATTGGTTTTATGGTATGTTAATGTGGTTTAAATATTTGGTGGTGTTGATGGAGTGTATTTTTAGAAAAACATCCATTAGAATTTAGGAGTTCACAATTTTTGAATATGTTTTATTATTTAGTATTTTTCATTAAGCGTCTGAGGTGAGTGTTAAGGTGGAAAAGTAGTAAATATTTACTTGCAAATCATGCGTTTCATAATAATAATTGTAGAATACAACATCGAGTTAAGGTAAGTGAACCCTATGGGCGTATATTCGAACTTAACAAGATATACTTGCTATAGTTAATGTACAACCGTTATATTTAATAATATATTGTATATACCTAGTAAGTCAACAGGCATAACCCTCATGATAATGCAAAATAAGTACATATGCATCTCGCTCTATTAGAAGAGTGTTATCTGGGATCGATGGTCATTGCAACACATTTGGGTCTCTTTTCAAAACAGACAAAGCCTTGGAAAATTTTGGTTTCTTGGGACTCGAGTCTTTATTAACTTGGTAAACTGGGTTAAAAACTATGAATGCAAAATATTACGGAAGCATTGAGTTAAATTGAGCAAATACTGATAAGGATAAATTTGCATGGGATTGTAAAAACAATGTCTTAAACAATGTGTCAATCAATAAAATACATTTAGCCCTCTAGCTATACAAGGAGTACCAAAACATCACTTAACTTTCTTATTTTAAATGCAAACCCCTAATTTCTTTAGCATCAATGGATTGGTTGTCCAATAGCCAGTTTGAGGCATCCTAGTTTTGTTAACTTATCTCTTACAGTTTTTGATATATGTCAATTGTTTAAGAAAGAAATTTCAATTTGTAAGCTATGAGTGCAAACATTGACACAAAAAATGTAAAAATATCAGTTGCTTTAAATGGCACCTACTAACTTTTTTGGTCCTGTTTAGTTTGGGTTCTTATTGTTTAATCATAGCAAAATTTTCAAGCTGGATCAAAAAAGTTTGTTGGTGCCATTGAAGAAAAACTGATTTTTTACATCGGAATCATGAAAAATGTGCATGGACAAAAGCGGTCAATGAAGTCAAAGTTTAGATACCTATGGATAGCTGGTGGAAGAGGAGGTTGGTGTTCAATATCGAGCACTGAAGACTTCAAATTAAAATACAACAAAAGTCGCTAAACAAATAAGAATAATAACGCACCAATTC